GGGAGCGGGAAGGGGGAGGGGGAGGGGGAGCGGGGAGCGGGGAGGGGAGTGGGGAGGGGGATAAGACAGGAAGCTGTCGGCATGCGGCACAGGGTAAATCGCGAGGTATAGTGAGTAATTAGCGTTACATTTGCTTTGTTTTGGAAGAGTAAGGGGGGAGGGGGCTTTGGTATTTAACCGTACTTTTCATTTCATTTGTTTTGTAAAGCGCGAAACTGTTTTGTATACCAGCGCTATATAAATCTTAAATATTATTATTATTATTTGCATGAATAGAACGTGTAATTAACCTTTTTTTCTCCCTAAAACGCCCTCATTGTATTATTATTGAGATTATGTCATCATGAAGCTGATATTAGGATATTTGGCCCAAACTGATGATTATCCCCCACTCAGGATTAAGGAGAGGTGATTGTAACGCAAAGAATAGAGAAAGAGAGGGTAGAGAGCAAGGGAAGAGAGAAGGAGGGAGAAAAAAAGGAGCGGAGATTGCGTGCGTGAGAGTAGGAGAGATCGAGAGATAAATAAAGAATCAATAATTTAGTGGGGTGTATGAAATAGAAAACATAATGGAGAGAAAAAACATCATGTTTACATGTATATAACAACTCATAGTACTCTTTTAAACTTGTTTGTTTGACAGTATATTGTAATTTATCCAGCTTGTTTCCTTATATGGTTTGATCAATGCCAACTACAGTTTGGACACGATCCCAAACCATAATACACATGTGGTCACGTGAACCACAATCTTGGCAAAGAATCATTTGAATAGAATCTTAAAACGAGGGACAAACAACTAAATGTATCTGTGTCCATTTTGTAATGCATGAAGATTAAATTTAAGTCCGAGAAGATCAGTTTAAAAGTATTTGTTTTGAGATTTTCTGTTTTTGATTTGCTACAACCGAATGGAAAGAGATATCCCACAATACGTACTGTTCGTTTAAAGTCATTACTGTATTTTTATCCCTGTATGTCCATAGATGCAATCGTTTAACATGTTCATAATCAGGTTTGCCAAAACAGAGGGATGTCTCGACTGTCTTCATATTCTTTCCAGTGAGGGGGGGGGGGGGGCACTTAAGACTTTTGTCAATAATTTCAGTATTTTGGATGGATATTTCAATATGAATTAGCAACTTCTTGCGAAATCAGATATTATTACTCTGTATGATGCAATAGCATACCCACATTTTGAGCTGACGAAAAGCTGTTCAACTATTGCATAATAATTATTGATCGTTCCAGAAGAATCATCTTTCTATAGTCAAACACGGGCGTCGGTCTAATTAACCCAGTAAACAACCTTTAATAACGTGCTTCGGAAGTATCCAGTCAAACCGGTGTTCCTCTTAACCAGGGGGGCTGCGCTGATTATAGGAAAGAAACTTATTGAACACCTCAGTTGGGTATTGTGACTTTTTTTTCCATTGGCAAATATTTGACTCTTTTTGACTTTTTTGAGAAATACTATTTGCTTGTTGGAAATTACATATGTATATTTCATGTGTATATTGTCTTACTATCATGTTGTATATATATATTTTTAAAACTTTTTATTTGAAAAGAAAAGGGGAAAAAATTGTATAAAGTATTACGAGTAATATAATTTAATCTCATCCATGTATTATGGCGGATGAGACTTATTTATTTGGTGATTGTTATCTTCACTCTTTAACTCAATTACACTATAACTTAGAAATGTGTTATCAAAATCGAGAATTATCCTACTTGTTTGAATAAAGTTTGAATTTGAATTAACTGTCCTGTCCGGGGCTAGCTTTGTCCGACCCCCCCCCCCCCTCCTCCCCCTCCCTCCACCTTTTAAACGGCACTCCGACGCCCTTCCTCCCATGTCTAATTATGTTCAACAATAGGGTACAGTATGCAGTAGGGGGGAAGCCAGCAGCATTTGCTTCTCCTCCCCTTGGCGCGCCCTGGCTCCGCCACCGGTATATTATGAAACAAATATCTTTCAAAACCATGCAGTTTCCTGTGCTTCATTCAAGGGTCTTCGATCACATGCTAGTAATTGTGCATGTAAACAGATTTCGATTCGGGTGTCATACTATTTATGCTGGTAAAATGTAAATCGAAACCACTTGGATTTATCACGTAGCTAGGCTATTAGTAGAAACGTAGTATTGTTTCATCGTGAAAAACAAGTCATGATGCCATTGCTTTAAATATATACTGGCTTTGTGCCATAATGACACGTATCTCATAACATGAGTATAGTTTGCCCTCAAGACCAATGTACAATGGCTGTCAGAGTATAGTAAGGAGTATACTGTAGTAAATAATGAATCTATTTGAAAGCATTTTTGTCCTCCTTCCAATTTGATTCCTTTGTTACTTTTATAGTTTATACCACCCCGCCCTTTCTTCAACAACCACGAATGACGTAGAGAACATCGTTCCATTTATTGTGTAGCAGTAAGAAAGGTCACACTACATCGACCATACATAATACAAGTATACTCGAAGTTTACCGCGCCCTATAAACAAGCGTTGACTTGATATTAGTTTTGTGTAAACATGAGAAATCTATAGGAGACCTTATGTCATTTGTTAGGACGAAAAAGATGAGTTTATCAAATGTGAATCGAAAATACAGTTACTCAGTTAGGTTGCGAACATATTTATTCGAAATATGTCATGCTTTAGTTTATCGCTCTTTTAATATTTTCATCAAGTGCTCATCACGAACGTTTGGTGTTTCATTCACCTCAATAGCAAATCGGTTCGTGCAGCTCGCTCTCCAATGTAATTCGATTTTAATTGAGCTTGTTTAGTTCTACATTGTATGCAGTTGGCAAGATAATTTTGTTTTGGAAGATATGCATGTACTGTGAATGCATGATGAAATTACCCGTTTCTTTTCATCAGTATAATCTCTGTGACGTAAAAACATATTCCATTGTTTTCTACAAGTGACGTCACAATTAATTTTCAGAAAATAGAATTATAGAATAAATGAAATTTCTTCACAAAACATTTAGGAGCAAGTTATTGGAAATTTGGAATAGACTTGTATACTAACAATCAAATTTGATGCATGCTTTTTAAACAACGATTGTTCTTGACAACTTGTAGGCTTTCCCGAGGCCTGTCCGACATAGCAACACATAATGTTAGCAGACTGGATACGATAATTTGTCCCCCCCCCAAAAAAAAAAAAAAAAAAAAATTGTAAACAATTCACTAGTGGGCAGTGATGTAAAATGTAAATTTCTATTGAATCTATTATGTATATAGTATCCATTGTACCTGAATTTTCGCTTTCGAATATATTTTATTTTGAGGCTGCAAATGGTTCTCCAACTTAAAGAGTTAAGTTCGACCAGGGACGTGATAGAGAAGGACAGGAATCAAGCCGCTCTCCTTTGACCCCATGCTCCAAGCGGCCGAAAAGTTATGCGCTAATCTGCAACTGTTGACCAGGTGGTGAGATAAAAGAGCGCATGAAATATCAGGATTTAGAATTCCTACATCAGAAAATGGTATCACTGCAACTGTTCGCTGTCCCTTCCAATGATTTCTCATCCATTGTTGAATGTGTAAAGAGTAGAACAAGCGAACACAAACTTGTGTACTTTCATCCTTTTTTAAACTTGAAAAATACAAAAAACACGCGAAAACACGCATTAGCAAACTTAATGTTATTGAAGATTGTAAATCATGGATCAAATAACGGGACATTAAAGCATGCACAAATTAGCGCATCATCCTAAAATATTGAGTTTTTGACAGGATGTAATTTTTCTTTTACCAACTCTGGCACACAAATTAAAGGAAGGACGGAGTTCTAAATTTGAAAATTTGTTTGATGCACTATTCCCAATAAAATCCCCATATAAAGTTTTTGATTTACACTGAAATTTTGCCGGTAATTTAATATTTTGTAATGAATGTAAAACTGGTGCCTGGCTTCCGAAATTCCCCGCAGTGGAAGCGCGGTTCGGAGCATGGAACTTCAAAGCCAAGTGGAATGTTACACATCCCATTGTTACGCTTTAGAACTCAAGAATGCGTTTGAATAAATTACAAGAGTTTCGCCTCCTTTTCTTTCACCTCCCTGGTTCGACTTAGGATCTTTGTGAAACACCTGTCAGCACTTGACTTGTGATAGGTTATTCTAAAGTTCCTCGATCCTTCTCCTTTGCTAATACAGTTTTTTCTAACTGAAATCAAGACATTTCACAGTCACAGTAAAAAAGGAATATTAGGAACTGCATGTACATATATGACTGCAGTGTACATAATGAAACATGTACCAACATGTTATGACTTGCAGCCAATACAAATAAAGCTTCTTTCATTTGTTTTTCTCATTGTCTTCCGATTGACTGCCCATTCTTTTGCCAAGCACCCAATGTAAAACTATTTCATTCATCTGCAAGAGATTACATGTCAGTAGTCAGAAAACAATCAATAAATACCTAGTTAGGTTTGAAAACACCATGTCTGTCCAACTAGCTGGCAAATAATGAATGAATTCTAACATTGCAATACATGTACAATAAATGCTAACAGGTGATTGTAATAGTACATGTGTGTCATTTGGAAAATGGTGCAAATCTGAATAAATTTCAATAATGGCCTACAGTGGTAATAGGCCATTTTCGTAATGTAACCAAATTTAATGCATAAGTCTTTGTGAAGTGCCTCAATACAAATTATTTCATTCACCTGATAAGAATAATAGTATTTCAATAGACAGAATCTGAACTGCATACATTAGTTGTTGCCAGGTTGGACAAACATTATGGCTTGACCTACCTAGCAACACTTAATATATTTAGCTGCATTCTAACTATTGAAATACTATTATTCTTATCAGGTGAATGAAATAATTTGTATTGAGGCACTTCACAAAGACGTATGCATTAAATTTGGTTACATTACGAAACTGGCCTATTGAAGAACTCAATTTCAATCGCTCAAGCATTCTTGCCCTTCTTAACAACAAAACAGATAACAGTGTAATCTTGTGATTTTAATAGTTGTCATTTGATGTTTTATTTTTTTTTGTTCAATCTAGAAATAAATATTTTCTCCATTCATGATTCTATTACTTTACACATGTCTGTTTGTCTTTGGCATGGTTAGGAAAACGTGTCTCACACCAGACAAACAAACAACACACAGTGACTCTATACATCATTTCAGTACTTTGGTATCATAATACAAGCATTCTGGAAAATCACTGCATTTTTTTTTTACATAGTTCTTTGATGAATGGCAGAGACCGATACCTTTTACAAACATATCACAAAACATAAAAAACGGTTTTAAATTTTATAAAAATGACTAATGCACACATGTTGAAAGATGTCCTGACATTGTACAGTTTGATATAAAAAATGTGAAAAAGATCTAATATGAATTCAGTGCCATAAACACTCTTCCATAATCTCTGATTCCCAGATACAAAAACAACATCAATTCAATCACGCAGCATCAATTATCACAAGCAAGCACAAAATATCTATAAAAAGTTAAAAACCTTTAAAAAAACAACGATAGCCAAAAGGGAAGTCACAATGTTTGCACCATAGTTTAGGGAATGAGAGTTTGACGTGGAGGGAGGGAGGGAGAGAGCGATGGGAGCTATGCTCTGCCAGCAATGGATTTGTTGACCCATCGGTACTGTTCAGGGTTTGGTTGACGGACCCACACCTTGTTCTGAGGGCGCTGTATAACACGAGGCGTGTTGGTTGCGTTCCTATTGAACACGTATTGAGAGGAGTTCACCATCTTCCTACCGCTGTTTGGTCTCAGGTTATCATTGATGACGAGCTGTCTGGGAGGGCTGGAGGGGGGAGAGGGAGTGGGGGAGAGTTGATTTGCATTGTTGTCGTTGAAGGCATTGTTTGATGATGATATTGGAGTTGATGGTCTGTTGTCTGTCAGAGTTTGCTGGTTGAAGGTAGCTACTTCACAAACTGTTCCTCTCTCTCCAAACCTGCAAATAAAAGAAAATGGAGCATGCCTGTTTACAAATCGACAACAAATTTGATTTTAATCCACTCACAACAGCGATACTATAGTACTACTAGTAGCTTGCAAAATTTTGACAATCTCTGGCGTCTAAATCCCTACAGCAATTACATGAAGACATGTTTTAAGAGTTCGCATCAAGTTTACCCGATAAGTAAAATAGATTTTTTTTCTTCATGATCTTTTCATCAAGTCGATGCTTTGCTCAGACGTTAAAAAAAAGAACATGAATACGTTTGTCTAGAAAGTCTAGATCAGTAGATGATAAGGTTACATGTCGAAAATGTTCTATTTGTCTACACTTTTCAAGTTTTCTTTCATCTTTTTTTTTTTTTTTTACTTGGGTTTACAATGACAAAGTTGTAACTTTATAATTAAAGGCTAATCTGTAAAGGTGGAATTATTATTCTAAAATTTCTATTCATCTAGGACTAGTCTAGGGTCTAGACTAGAATGTAGATCTAGATTAAATGCACTTTACAAATGAGACATGATGAAGTTGAGAAAGTGAACACAGCTTACCTGCAACTGACTTCCAAAGGGTCCACCCAAAGACACAATTCTGCGGGTAGGTTGAGGTGATTGTAATGAATTCCACAGTCTTTGGCAGTCTTGCTTATCACACTATCTCGGGGCTCGTTTCTGCTAACTCGAATGCAGCGATACGCTTGTCCTTTCGACGGCTTGTCCTCATACCAGTGATTTCTGAACTTCTCAATGAGTGTTAGCGCCAACTTTTCCGAGAATTTACTCATTTGTTCAGCTGTTAGGCTCGTGTTCCTCTTCACGATCCTTGTCAGAAATACAACTGCTGCTGCTATTTCGTCCTTCATTATGTCAACAATGTCTGCATTAATGTGAAATCTAACTCCAAAAGTAACAATCCACGTTCAAAGTAGGCCTAGTTGTAAAGTTCCACGTAGCGAGCGTAGCGTAAGTCTCTCCGTGTAATGTAAATAACACAGCTCCGTCAGGTCAGCAGGAAAATTCCTTTGTTGTGCCAGGCGGATTTAACTCGTAAATTGTAATAATTCTTCGAATCTTTCACGCAGCAATTTTGGAATGTAGTTAGATAAAGACAGGATGGACAGCTTAAGTGGACTAGTTTGAGCTGTTTGCTTTGTCTTTCTTGAAGAACAACGAATATTCTGCTACGTATTCGTGACTCATTCTGAGAGCATCAATTCACGGAAGAGAGCTATCGAGCTATGACAACAATATAGTGCGCGTTTATGTTGTGTACAATGTAAAACGTCACGTGAGTCACGTGCTACACCCGACCAATCATAACACGGTAAGGGGGTGTAACCATGCAAAAGATGTAAACAGCTTCCATGGTGCATGCAAATTAGCACCATATATGGCAAATGCAAGCAAACTGGCAATATGATACCGTTAGGGGGAGACATAAATAGTGATTGAATACTAGGCTAAAAATAGATACCGATCTAGGGGATCTCCCTGTGAGAAATTACGCAATGGAAGATACCAGTATATTAAGTAAGTGTCTCAAATAGGGGATTTCAAGGATACCTCGTTAGAAATATTTGGACTATACGTGCATTAAGGGTATTCATGAAGTTTAAATTTTACTTTTGACATATCCAGATGTTTAAAAGCTATTTGAAACACGATTGAGTACAATTATGAGTCGAGGCTATAGAAAACTAGATCTAGATAAAACTTAAAGGAATAGTAAAATTTGCTCACTTTAAGAGGAAATTAAAGGAATACCAAACACTTGAGAGTCAGAGAAGAGAAGCGAATGATATGTTATATGGTTGAACTTGTTATTCTTCAGCCGGTTCATGCTTTTTCATTTTGTATATACTTATGTTTGTGTACGTTATAGAAATTCTAAATATTCATCATAATTTTCCTCTTCTTACTCTTCCTCTTTTTCTTCTTCTTTTTCTTCTTGTACGTATTATCATTTCTATATTCAGTTTCATGTTGTTATTATCATTATTATTTTAAACTAAGTTTTTTCCTATCTGTCTGTAAATATTACTATTTTAACTTATTAATTTTGTACATGTCTGTCGGGGACCCTACTGGAAATAAGCTCTCGAGCTTTCATGGGGTTTTCCTTTTCAAGCTGACATAATTTTGATCTGTTATTCTTGTATATTGTATGTTGGAAGCTTGGCGAATAAAAATCAATCAATCAATCAATCAATCAATCTATGATATAAATCTTTAATTATTTTTGCTGAAACAGGGGATTATAGATTCTAGGATTTTGGGTAAATTGTGACCCTATTTATTCAAATTGTAGTACAGGAGGTATATACAGCATGCTTCTTTGCTGTATAGACCTATAATCGATAGAAAGTCGAACATGTATTTTGATTGTTTATTGATTTCCCACCATTGGGATGGGTAGGCCTACCCTTATCAGCACGATCGCTGTTTTTCATAGGGGTCCACATGTAAGCCTCTTTGGAAAAAAAAGAATATTCAGGTAAAAGAAATTAAGAGAAATGTATTGTGCGAATTTCTTCTTTAGCCTTTATCATTTGATTGTTCATTTACTCAAAAAAGTGTAAGTATTTTTTCCATTTTTTTCTTCTTCTAAAGCCCATTTCGTTGTGTTAGGCTGTTGCACCATGACTAGTTCAGGGAACAGATCTTATTTGATACCACTTTAAATCCTCCTACCAGCATCCGAAAGGCCTAGTTGAGGTGGATCAGAGAAATAATGGCGCCTCGCTGTTCGGTCAAAATTAAAGACACAATCACTAGCACCCCCCCCCCCCCAAAAAAAAAAAAAAAAACTTTTTCATCTCCAAAGGACTAATTATAGGGGTCTAACCTTTTGTTCAGTATCTAGAAAGTACAAATAATATCTTGTTACCCCCCCCCCCCCTCTCTCTCTCTCTCTCTCTCTGTGTTCCTCGTTCCCCCTCTTGCTCTCTCTTTCATCGTTTCTCCCACTCCATCAGCTATTCATATCCCCTTCCAACTTGTGTAAACAATAGTAGTAGCAGTAGTGTACTTCTACTACTACTACTACTACTACTACTACTACTACTACCACTACTACTACTACCACTACTACTACTACCACTACTACTACTACTACTACTACTACTACTACAACTACTACTACTACCACTACTACTACTACTACTACTACTACTACTACTACTACTACAACTACTACTACTACTACTACTACTACTACTACTACTACTACTACTACTACTACTACTACTATTACAACTACTACATGTACCACTAATACCACCACCACTGCTACTACCACCACCACTGCTACTACCACCACCATTACCAAAACTACTACTACAATGTACTACCAAAAGCACACTGCACTACACATACTTATCTGTTAACACTAAGGATTAATACGCCATCAAGCATGAATGGAAGAGCATAAAAAAGAATTGTATTTTATTTAATTTCAATCAATTCCATACTTAAAATAACAAAATGGAACAGAAAAATGACTATTCAAACACAAAGGTAATCATATGTTTACACTATGTATACAAAATATGAGCACCAATTTAAACAAGGCAAGAGATTATCTGTGGAAACTCATTCGGACCAAACAACTTAGTTTGATGAAACCTTGTTATATCAATACATGTTCTCTGTAATAAAACTAATTAAGTAATATATAAAACAAACGATAGAATACAAAGAACAGGGACAGGTAAATTACCTTGTCATAATAACAATCTGTTTAACAAGGTTCCACTGCAAAACTCTCGCCGTCAACATACATCTTTTGATCTAAAGAAATGCACACATCCAACAAAGCTGGAAACTATAAATTTACTGTCCAAATATTGACCAGCAAATAAAACTGAATTGATCCCCAAATCTTCCAGGGCCCTGAGCTGGTATTCATTTCAATACTTAGAATAAGTAAGAAATTTACTAAATAAATTGCTAAGCTGAGAACTTTACTTATCTCGTAATCAAATTGCACTTTAGACTTTTAATTACGTAAGACAGAATCTAAGTAAAATACTTACTGATAAGCATTGTGACATCACACGGTATATGCGCAATGAATACGTTTCAATAATTGCATGCTAATATAATTGTGCGCTGGTAATGATACTGCGTAAGAAAAACATATGCCTGCCAATCAAGGCCTCCAAATAATTGGCTTATGTCTGGTAGGGAGCTGTCTTAAATTTAGGGTAAAATACTTAGCCAAAAGAATGAACTGAATACCAAAATTAGCTGAGTATTTTTTATCTACCGTAAGACAAATACTAAGTAAAAAGCTTATATTCTGTACTGTATGGAATTGAATACGGGCCCAGTTGCATAACATTTTTTGAGTTACCGCTACTTTTCACATTGAACTTTCCAGAGCCAGTGTGCACATGAAACCTTTAACATTTTGAGAGTCCAGTGTGAAAGTACCTACCTATACATGTATTATCTTCATCAGTCTTTGGGTAAGTTACACATTTACTGGTTATTTGCATCATTATATTAAATTATTAATTTGAAAATCTTAAAGGTATAGACCAGTTTTTAAAACCCCCCCCCCCCCAAAAAAAAAAAAAAAAAAAAAAAAATGAAATGGAAGCTCATATTACTAATCATGTGAAAGAATATGTTTTGACTAATACGTGATGACACAAATTTTGCCGGGAAACAGCCAACTGATTTATATATTTGGTAAATTATTATATCTATCCAGTCCAGATAGATATAATAATTTATTGCGTGGTCCCATATACATCTTTCTGTGTACAGTGCTTGTAACTTTACCAAGACTGGGCCAAATTTCCTCATCATTTTGATGATTCCAGAACCTTGCAGTGTACACCAATACTTATATGCTAGATGATCAACCTTTTCTGATCGATTCCACAACGTTTCTTTCACAATGCAATCGCATGACCAGAACTGGTATTTACCTTTAATCTTTGTATGTATACATTATGTAATTATTATGTATTCAATAGAAAAATAAAAATGAATTGAATAAATAGTGTCCACATTATAATTTTGCTTCATAATACAGTTAAGTAAACTTAACATAACAAATCATTCTGAAGAAGGAATGGCAAAGTCATGACACATTCCTAAACTCTGCTTTTATTGATTCAATTAATTCATAGTTGATTTAACATATTACCCAGAGGGGAATGTAATACCTGAACTACAGCCACATTAATATCGCCTAAAGCGTGATATGCTTAGTATTGCAATCCATCTTTCAGATATTCATACATTTAATCATAATAGTATACATTCGTGCCGCGGCAGGACTTGAACCTCTGACCTTGTGATCCACATATCAACTCGACCACGACACCTCTACCCAATCAAACTCCACAATTCAGTTATAGGCTCTCTTAAACCTCACTGATAATGATAAACTAGTAATTAAATCTGTTTTTTGATGGTAAAAATAACAATTCAAGGAATTTGTAATGATAAGATTGTTGGTTCCATCAATAAAAACTTTGGACTCCATCTCTTCTCCTTCTGCAAGTGACGTCATGTTGAAACGATGAAATCTGTTTGCTCTCAGACATTGTTATCAAGGCTTGACCTAAAAACAGAAACTCCTCGAAAGTGATCCCAACAAGACAATGAGATCCCTGATGCTCATTAACATTCATCAATGAGGTCTAATCTATCACAACGATTTCAATCTCCACAAACACACAACAGGGAAGCTATTTGGGAGGGTTTATAATTGTAGTTATCATTATATGTATGAGGTCTATATGACCAAGTAGTAATTTAGGGGCAGTCACTGTTCCAAAATGGCCAACCTAGCACCTGTACCATCTTGATACTGGTGAGAAACCTTTCTCTCACATTCCCTGAACATACCCCCTCGAGAGGTTTGTCATTGCTTCCACCGCCATAGCCATTCTGTCATCCTCTAAACCAGGATAACGGTTTCTCATTTCCTCTTCACTGCTCTTCTCCATCTCCGTAGATTGAGGCGAAAGGTCATAACGAGGTTTCTTGGGAGTTCTTTCTCCACTGCTACTCTCATCCTCCTCATCAACACTCCTTAGCTGCTCAATGGGGAAGAAAGCAGTCTGGTGATCATTTCTCACAGTACCCTGGTTCATTTCATGATGGTATTGCACTTGTGAGAGGGGTTGTCCACCATTCTCCAATGTCACCTTCGACCCAGGCTTTCTCATAAACTGGATGTTCTTAGTGACGGGAGTGCTCCTAATAACCTCCTTCCCGTGTGAACCTACCTGTATGATGTCATACAAGCTTGTCTCACCTGGCTCAGCTGATTGAATCCTTCCCTCGCTATCAGCTGATAGAATCCTGCCTTCGCTATCACCCGATTGGATCCTTCCCTCGCGATCACCTGATTGAATCCTTCCCTCGCGATCACTTGATTGAATCCTTCCCTCGCGATCACCTGATTGAATCCTTCCCTCGCGATCACTTGATTGAATCCTTCCCTCGCGATCACCTGATTGGATCCTTCCCTCGCGATCACCTGATTGAATCCTTCCCTCGCGATCACCTGATTGAATCCTTCCCTCGCGATCACCTGATTGGATCCTTCCCTCGCGATCACCTGATTGAATCCTTCCCTCGCGATCACCTGATTGGATCCTTCCCTCGCGATCACCTGATTGAATCCTTCCCTCGCGATCACCTGATTGGATCCTTCCCTCGCTATCACCGATAGAATCATTCAAATCTTCCACGTCAAAGACTCTCCTAGTAGATCCCTCAGGATTCTTAAGATCCAGCGTACAATCCACGATGATGATTGGTCCCTGATCACCCTCTAGATACTGCACCTGACTCGGCTCAAAGTCTACCTTCTCAGGAGAACTGGTCTTTCGTTGCTTAGCGCTTAGTTTCCTTGGTGATTTGCGTTTCTTAGATGACTAAAGAGAGGACAATGAAAGGGGAAGTTAAGAGAGGTAAATGGCAGGGGAGAAATACTCTTTTAAAGTCTAAACTTTCAATATTAACCACATCACTTAATGATAGGACATACCAGGCTAACTTTTGATATACCGGTAGCCATGTGGTATTTTGATATCTTATTTCATTAGTTCACATCACAGCATTCTGCATTATCCTTTCGAATTCTTTAAGGGGTAGGGACATTTTTACTTTCAATTCTTTTTACATTTTGATTTGGGTGTAATAGTGTGTTCAGACCATATTTTACATCATAACATGATGTCGTACAATGATAGTCTATGCATCCTAGTTAAGTTTGGTCCTGATAGAATACATGTGCAACTCATCATCACTTGATAGTTTTACTTGTGCAGTCCCAAAACTCTAGAATAATTTACCATTTGAAGTCAGGAAATCACCATCTGTGAATATATTTAAATAAAAACTGAAAGCACATCTTTTCAATTAATTGTAAATCTAAGCATATCAGGAGCTCTTGTAGCGCAGTAGAATATGTACTTAATGTTGGATAGTTTCTGCACTCTATAAATGTATTATTATTATTATAGTTGAAAGGGAGGTAAAGATATGTACAAATAAATGAATGAATTCCTTTGTGGCTCTGAGCAGACAACCTTAAACTCACCTTTCCCTTCTCAGCTTTCTGACTGCTAGACGACTGGGCTCTGCCATGTTCTTCCTCTTGGATAGTCATTAGGGGTGTGGTGATGGGCGTGGCAGTGGGTGGAGCAGTGGGCGGGGCAGTGGGCGGGGCATTGGGCGGGGCATTGGTGGTAGTATCTTGTAGGATCTGTTGAGTTAGCTCAATGCTCTCGTATCTTACCGTCTGTAGTCTCAAGAAACCATCTTCATGCTCTTTATACCTGCATGTCAACATTCAAAAAGACAACTCAACAGGTTACTTCTAGGAAGGACTAAACTGACATATCACTTTGCCTTATACTGAACTTCACATGTGCCATTTCATGTACAAATTATCTTAAAGCCCCACTGTCCTACTTGTAGCTACTTGCTCCCTCTGTATAGAAAACTTCCCAAATCGGTGCATGTTGGTCCCCCATGATCCTCTTTTTCTTATGTTAGTTGAGAGCTGAGTTAATGAGATAGCCACCTGTCAGTGACCTCGCTGTGTGGTCTAATCCTTTCTGGCCCAGTAGTATTGACGGTCTTTAAAACAGCCTTTTCAATTAAAGCTTTATAGCCATTCAGAGAATTGTTTTAAAACAGCCTTTCAGATTCAAGGTTAGCAATTTGGGGGATTGTTTCATAGTCAAAGCGGGCTCAAATATTTTCCACAGGAATAAACCTGGCTTGTAAATTCACGTACCAATTTTTGTTTCAAGGAGGACTAAATAAATGTGACTTTGTCTAAGTTCAAATAGTTGAAGATCATGTGATCTTTGACCTTTAAAACGAAAAACTAATCAGAATCAAGTACCTAAATCAAACATGACTTGAATCAATGTTTATCTTAAAAGTGATTGGCAGGGATATGACAGTATAAAAAATAGAATCTGACCTGAATCTGACGTGACCTGAAGGCCATTTGAAGCGATGTTTGTCTTTGAGATGATTGGTTAAGACATGACCTCTTGAGAACTTTGACTGGCAGACATGACACATGTAACGCTTCTCATCCACGTCCTGTATGAAGCCAAGAACAAAATTGAAGAGACACAGGTGAGAATACAATGGTAATAAGAACAAATATCATAATATCTACAAGTAATAGACCTATTGGGACTGCCTCAATGTACTGTCACATGCTTGATGCTGACAGGCATACTAGGTGATCTTGTGCAAAGTATGCTGAAGACAACTTCATATCAAATGAATTATTCATGATCCTTAGGATAGGTTCAAATATGTTGCGTTTTTGGTAAAAATCTAAATGTTTAGTGTCTTTGCTGTGAAGGTACAATTCTCAATGTCAAAGGAATAATAATAATATTGCGCTTTTATATAGCGCCCAATACATCGAAACAACAATGTGTCTAAGCGCTTTACATATTTATTATTACCCCGGTCATCAAATTCAGGCTTACCCATACACAATGTATGCACAGTCTTCACTCCCTGTGGAGCATTCCAGCCAGTCGCCATTTTACAAGCGCACACTTGCTCATCCAACAACATTAACTTCGCATCCTACCAAGTACTCATTTAACACTTGGGTGGAGAGTGGCAAATGTAGATTAACGTCTTGCCACAGGACATTAGTGCTGCGGCGGAACTCGAAGCCCTTACCTTGTGATCTGCAGTCGGGTGACTAATCCACTAGACCACGACACCTCTACCAGTAAGGAATGACAACTTCTGAAATGTGTTCTGAGTGCGCTGAGTGTCTTTGCTGTGAAGGTACAATTCTCAATGTCACAGGAATACTTACTGAATGACACCTCCTGAAATGAGTTCTCAGTGTACTGAGTGTCTTTGCTGTGAACGTACAGCTCTCAATGTCACAGGAATACTTACTGAATGACACTTTCTAAAATGTGTTCAGAGTGTGCTGACTGTCTTTGCTGTGAAGGTACAGCTCTCAATGTCACAGGAATACTAACTGAATGACACCTTCTGAAATGTGTTCTGAGTGTGCTGAGTGTCTTTGCTGTGAACGTACAGCTCTCAATGTCACAGGAATACTTACTGAATGACACTTTCTAAAATGTGTTCAGAGTGTGCTGAGTGTCTTTGTTGTAAAGGTACAGCTCTCAATGTCACAGGAATACCTACTGAATGACACCTCCTGAAATGAGTTCTCAGTGTACTGAGTGTCTTTGCTGTGAAGGTACAGCTCTCAATGTCACAGGAATACTTACTGAATGACACCCTCTGAAATGAGTTCTCAGTGTACTGAGTGTCTTTGCTGTGAAGGTACAGCTCTCAATGTCACAGGAATACTTACTGGATGACACCTTCTGAAATGAGTTCTCAGTGTACTGAGTGTCTTTGCTGTGAACATACAGCTCTCAATGTCACAGGAATACTTACTGAATGACACTTTCTAAAATGTGTTCAGAGTGTGCTGAGTGTCTTTGCTGTGAAGGTACAGCTCTCAATGTCACAGGAACACTAACTGAATGACACCTTCTGAAATGTGTTCTGAGTGTGCTGAGTGTCTTTGCTGTGCACGTACAGCTCTCAATGTTACTGGAATACTTACTGAATGACACCTTCTGAAATGTGTTCTGAGAGTGCTGAGTGTCTTTGCTGTGAAGGTACAGCTCTCAATGTCACAGGAATACTTACTGAATGACACCTCCTGAAATGAGTTCTCAGTGTACTGAGTGTCTTTGCTGTGAACGTACAGCTCTCAATGTCACAGGAATACTTACTGAATGACACTTTCTAAAATGTGTTCAGAGTGTGCTGACTGTCTTTGCTGTGAAGGTACAGCTCTCAATGTCACAGGAATACTAACTGAATGACACCTTCTGAAATGTGTTCTGAGTGTGCTGAGTGTCTTTGCTGTGAACGTACAGCTCTCAATGTCACAGGAATACTTACTGAATGACACTTTCTAAAATGTGTTCAGAGTGTGCTGAGTGTCTTTGTTGTAAAGGTACAGCTCTCAATGTCACAGGAATACCTACTGAATGACACCTCCTGAAATGAGTTCTCAGTGTACTGAGTGTCTTTGCTGTGAAGGTGCAGATCTCAATGTCACAGGAATACTTACTGAATGACACCTTCTGAAATGTGTTCTTAGTGTGCTCAGTGTCTTTGCTGTGAAGGTGCAGCTCTCAATGTCACATGAATACGCATCCCCAGCATTATGGCTCTCCATGTGTCGCCTCATATCTGTCCTTGTCTTGGCTCTGTCAAGATCAAAAGGGAAATATTCAAGTTCAAAGGTCATCATAACACAGGAACTATACCATCATTAAAAGAAGCACTGAATCAAAGAAGCAGACCAAGAGAAAGATATAAATTTCAGATGAAAAACTTTGACATATATTCTAATTATATCTATCATTCAGCACTAACTTATATAATTAAGTCCAGAAGTTTAAATTCCTCCAAAATATCAAAATAAAAAGAGTTCCAGCATTTGATCTTTTGTGCCTTGATAAAATATAAAAAACGAGTCACTACTAATCAATCAATCAAAATAGCGCCTTTTCCTTGCGGTTACAAAGCGCTGCACACACCGCTCCACCGCTCTACTACTATGATATAAACAACATTTTCTAAACCATACAAGAAATCTGAAAGGCAATCAACTGCCCTAGAAATGAACAAGAAACTTTTAAAATAAAAGTTGAAATCCTTATTTTTCGCCCAGTAATGAAGCAAGCACTTTACATTTTTTAAATGAAAATGGTCGGCATTATCCCTGGAGATAGGAAATAATGCAAAAACACTAAATCTAATTCATTCTTGTTCCTCTTCACCCCTTGGAGTCAGAAGGGCTTTAATTCATATGATTTAAAGGGATCCGGTAACTTTGTCTTAGATCCTTTAAAAAAATCCTTGATTTAGCTCATGCTGCAATGATAATTATAAACCTTGAGGCCAGTCAGGAACCCCATGGCTTTTACAAGCTGATCGCCTGTCTGATTATCAAGATATTTATGATTAAAAATCGGTATCAAATTTTGTGTTTGCAAAACGGTTTTCATAAACTACAGTCTATTGGGGAAAACCAGTATGGTAAAACCGGTCACTCAGAGGTTTTCACTTTTTTGAGGCACTTCTTGATCATTTTGAAGCAATTTGAAGTAATTTTGTCAGGGCTTCAATATTACACATAGGGCCGAGCATCTCAGATTAGCATTGCTAAACAATCCCTTTAAACCCAGAGTTATCACCCTTCCTCCTCCTCCAAACATGATGATATAAATTGTATATAAAGACTTACGCATGGTCGCAGAGTTCACAGGTGAAAGGTCGATCTGAGGAATGTCTCCATTGGATATGCTTCTTCAACACAGATGGCGCCGGACACGTCATGTCACAGAAAGGACATTTGTAATGATTTACTACAAAAACAAAAGAAAAACAAATATTACATGTACAATACAAAGAATGATAATGGATGGATAGTGACCAATTTTTGTGTCTCACAAGAGGCCTAAAAAAAAAAAATGTTGTATTGCCCTTTGCGACCAACCCAAAAATCTTGAAATTTTCTGTTTTTTAGAAAAAAAATGTATTAAAGCATTAAAAACTGAGAAATATCAGCCCCAAAAGGGAGTAAAGCATATTTCAAAAGTTAGAAGAATTTCTTTTTTGACCAACAGACCCATGTTTTGGCACCTAAAGGACAATACAACATCTTTTTTTGTTTAGGCCTGAGTATAACACATGTGTCTATATGCTTTAGAAATCTGAGCTTTGGTTTGATCAGCAACCATTCGGCATGGAGTTGTTTATATCATCAGGTCAGAACCAGAAGGGTGTTAACTCTGTGTTCAATTATATGCCCTTCTGGTTCCAAACAGAAGATATGTTTCATTTGATCATCATACTGATTAAAGATAAGTTCTGGTAATGATAGAAAGTAAATTCTCACAGAATCCAACAAAACTTACACTGAATGTTCAAAACTACTAATAAATGACATGAGCCAAACAATTTTTGTAGAAAATATATAGGGGCTGAGTAACGAGCATAGATAGATAAGGAAATCAAGGTAAGTAGGCCCAACACCATGTGCTTAACACAGGTCACACTACCAGTATGTGCAAATGAGAGTTGTTGTTAATATTGAAGATGATTTCCGGCATGTTTATGTGAGTTTGTTTTTACTTTTACTGGTTCAAACAATCAATCACCTGCAGGATAAACAATCCAGAATGAATTATAGCCATGTTCTCTCGACATATGATTCCAATACCAGAGCCCAAGATGAGCGTTAAATTTGATTAATATTGCACTGTGATTACACTATGATTACAAACAATAAAGAATGGCTACTTAGGATAAGAGGAGGTCAGTCTTACCATGATGTCTCATATGATCTCTGAGCAATCTCTCAGAAGCAAAGACCTTGGAACAATGTGAACACTGGTAGTTGGGCTCTGAAATAAAAACAGGTGCAGTGTCAGCCATAGTCATTGCCTTTACTCATGAAGGGATATGATATAATAAGTCATCATCATCATCCCCATCATAGTCACTATCATAAACATAAACACCACCATCATGATCACTCTCATCATCATCCCCATCATAGTCACTATCATAAACATAAACATCACCATCATCACTCTCACTATCATAAACATCACCATCACCATCATCATCATCATCATCACCACCATCATCATCATCATCATCATCATCATCACCATCATCATCATCCTCATCATAGTCACTATCATAAACATAAACATCACCATCATGATCACTCTCATCATCATCACTCCCATCATCACCATCATCATCGTCGTCATCATCATCATCATCATCATCATCATCATCATCATCATCATCATCATCATCATCATCATCATCATCATCATCATCATCATCATCATAGTCACTATCATAAACATAAACATTCCCATCATGATCATTCTCATCATCATCACCATCATCAAACCATCACCAGCATTATCACCATCATCACTCTCATCATCATCATCATCATCATCCTCATCATCCCCATCATAGTCACTATCATAAACATAAACATCACCATCATCACTCTCACTTTCATAAACATCATCCTCATCATCATCATAGTCACTATCATAAACATAAACATTACCATCAACACTCTCATCATCATCATCATCATCACTAACTATTCCAATCACTGTTCATCATTATGAAGAAGAACCAAGAATGAATATTTACCATCTAGTATACCCTGTCTATGAAAATGATCAAAGAACTTTGTTCTGTTGCTAAAGAGACCTAAACCATCATCACCCTCATAATCACCTATTATTACAATCACTGTCCATCATTATAAAGAAGAATCAAGAATTACCATCTAGTATACCCTGTCGATGAATATGATCAAAGAACTTAGTTCTGTTGCTGAAGAGACCACCACACTGACTGCAACCAAACCGCTTCTCTTGGGAGTGACATCGAAGATGGTCTCGAAGCTTGTATTTATCCTTCGTCTTCACTTGACATTCTGAGAAAATAAATCGAGTCAAAAGAACAATTGATTCCAAATTAAATGAAAAGCAGTAATGTACAGATTAACCCGTCTGTAGGGACTGCCCAAGAAAAACACAAAAAGTGGTCTTTGTAGACAGGTGGTCCTTGTAGACAGGTTCTTTAGTACATGTGGTGGTGGTTATTTTACCTGACTGCTAAGAAAGCATAAATGCTTGTTAGTAAGCAACCAGACGGCCAACTGCTTTAGGTCCTCCCCGAGGGACCTGGTAATGAGGATTAATGCCTTACCAAAGGGCACTAGTGCATGGACTTGGTTTTGAAACCTGGGTCACCGGATTACGAGACCACTGCTCTACCAACTGAGCTATTGCGCCTCTTAAATGAGAAACCATTTTCAAGTGAAACAAAAAATGTGGTCTTCATACACAGGTGGTCTTTGTAGACAGGTGGTCACTAAAGCAGGTTTGACTGTATTACATTCTGAAGAATTGTTAGGTCACAAAGCATAACAATGTTTTGCACAAAGTGACAAAAAAAGGAGGAAGGGTGAGGAAGGGTCAAACTGGCATTTGACATAGTACTCTACTTCTATTCTGCTACTTGTCAAAGCCTGTTCAGCATCTAGACATAGTATTTTTTGTGTCCACCTTTCAGGCATCACATAACTGGTATAAAGTTTGGACACAAATCAAAGTGCACAGTTGAAGGAAAACTTGATATATTGCAGCCCTGTTTTTTTGTTTAAAAAATGTGGATGCTTGAGCCTCCTGAGGCCTATTCCTCGACCAGCCCTAGCCTGTTTATACTTAAAAAACAGTACTGGCTCAAGACATGTGAACACTAAGGCTCTGCACTAACTTTTCCCATTTGGGTCCGGAGTACTTTTTTGTGGTATGTGTGCACCAGACCTTATGAACACGCAGAACATTTGGAAGTCTAGGCCCTGTTGCACAAAACTGACCATTGGCGGTAACTCTGCCATCAATGGTAACTACCATGGAAACTTTCATTTTGATTGGCTGTTGAGCCCTGTTTTTCATGGTAGTTACCATTGATGACAAAGTTACCATCAATGGTAAGTTTTGTGCAACAGGGCCTTGGGGTGAAATATCAGGGGTGTCACAGCATTGTGCGCTCTGTAAAGATTGTCAGTTTCATGTTATGCCTACAGGTAGATACTTAAATGAACAGCAAACAAGCTTATTTTCTGACCCAAGAAACAAGTCCATCTTTTTGGACATATCGATCATCTTCAGAGCGAAAAGGTCGTTATCCTGTGTTAAAATCCTTCTAGCTCTGAGCATAGAGGTGTCGTGGTCGAGTCGATGTGTCACCGGACCCTGGATCATAAGGTCCATGGTTCGAGTCCCGCAGCAGCACTAATGTCCTTTGGAAGACATTAATCTACATTTGCCACACTCGACCCAGGTGAGGTAAATGGGTACCTAGTAGGATTATTCCTTGAAATCCGCTGTGCCCTGACAATGGCTGTTGGAGCTAAAGCTAGAGTAATAATAATGTAATTTATGTAGAGCACACTGATATGTCTTAGGACAGGAATTGCACTATATAAGTGGTACATACATGTATACAGTAAGCTTGTGATCATACCCATTTGGGTTTAATAATAATAATAATAATATAGTATTAATGACTGCTTTGAGAGAAATAGTTGTTTTTATATGCTCAAGGGAAGGTTAAAATTGTGCTATTCCCCCGAGGCGTGCAGTCATTAATACTTTTATATGCCGAAAACAAAAGAGTCAACTAATGACACCACCTTGGCCTTTCTCTAGTTTATCTGCATGGTTGTTTTTTATGAGTGTATCTTTGAGAGTAGACTAGATCTAGATTCTAGTCTAAGCAAGATATTTTTACAATTTTGGGGATTGGACCAGCCCTGTGGGGAATAGAGAGAAGAACCTGCGCTTTCATATGACACCTCACTTTATGAGTATCACCTTCAGGATCACATCAGATAAAGGTTTGAATCTCGAATTAAAAAAAAAAAATTAACTTTTTTTGCATGGTCGCGCAATGCACGTAGACTGCATAGAGACTGCATTGCGTGTAATCTCTATGGGAAGAATATAGCACACAACATCGGGTGCGCGATCAGACACCCTGACAACTAGATCTATTTTCGTCTACGTCTATGCTGGTGCTCCATTTTCAGCAACTAAACTAACATGTTTATGGATAATTTCACGTACCCTTTTTGTTGTTCTTGCTGTCAGCAATTAGTCTTCTATTTGATAAGTTGAAATCTTGGGACAGTTTCTTTAGCCATTTTTGTCTTGTTTGGAATTGTCTTGTCTTGTATGAAAATACCGACCAATTCTTCGCACACGTACGGTATCCTCGATCGCTCAAACCATTTTTTAACATGTAAACCTATAGGGTAATCATGGAGACTGAACTATTTTTCCGGTAACCATGGTTACTGGGATTTTAGAACTGTTTTAACCATGGTTACTGGGAATTTTACAGAAATAGTTAAAGTTTATGAATGCAATTTCGACCAATCAGATGGCTGGATTTCTTAAGTGAGGTATATAACATTGGATATTTACATGTATATAGTGCACATATCCACCATGCATGGTGCTCAAGGCGCTCCAACTATTACCCGGCTCTGCATTCAAGGAAATCCTTCCTACCAGTACACATTTTACACCTGGGTGGAGATCGAGTGGCAAATGTAGATTAATATCTTGCCAAAGGACATAGCACACAATACAAATGAAAGACCCTGTACACTATATTACCTCTCCATTTACACGATAGAATCCCACGTTCAGCTTCTTCCATCTGACTGTGCATCTCAACATGACAATAGAAGTAGTCTGGATTGTTTGTCACAAACTAGGGAAGAAACAACAAAGAACATCTCAACATGACAATAGAAGTACCGGTAGTCTATGAATCGTCTGCGCTGTAGTATTCCGTCACAATGCTTTATTTTTAAAGATGAGAATTGAGAAGTATGCATTGATTATAAAACAGAAATTTTATAAATGGAAAGATACTCATAAAGTCCTATCAGCTATCAGCTCTACTTTGGCACTTTATGCTAGCTGGTTTTGATTTGTAAAAACCCAACAATTTGGAACACTTTAGTTTTCTCGTTCTGTCTCCCTTGCTCCCTGTTGTGTCTCTCTGTTTCTCTTTGAGATCTCTCCCCCCCCCCCCCCCCCCCCCCCCCCCCCCCCCGCCTTCCCCTCTCTCACTCCAGCCTGAGGACCATTTCTGTGTCGCGCACCCAATCAGCTGATAATATGTTGACAGTACACCTTGCCATTCCTCTCATTCTTTTCGACAGTTGATTTGGGGGATCATGCAATGAGTTGAGACACAGCAATGTGTGTAGGATGAGTGTGATTGAAGAATACAAAATATATAAAAACGGTCAGAAGCTGGACTACCCTCTCACATGCTCTCTCTCACTCATTCTCTCTATAAGCCTTTTCGTAATTACTATCTGCACATGGGCAGATAAAGGTCATTTCTGATAAAATTTGAAAACCCACCAGGACAGGAATATGTGCTCATGTTATGTAATCGTTACCTTTCATGTGTGCACCTACAGTACATTCTATGATACAAGAGGGCAAACAAAAGCTTTTCATGAAGCACGTACATGACTTTGGCATTGATTAATCTAAAATACACAAAGTGGGACTTCTCCATGAGTAAAAGATCTGTGGATGTTTGGGGTCATTTGAAGTTTGATGTCTTACCGAGCAATCCTCCCAGCTACACACAAATGAGCTTGGCACTTCAGGGATGATGTTTCTACTATGGGGCTCCAGCTGACAGGTTTCAATCTTACACCGTTCTCTCTCTACAGTCCCAGCCCACTTGATCCGTGTATGGTACCCGTGGAATAACATGTGTCTCAGAAGCGCTGCTGAGCCCTCGTTAGTGACATAGCCACAGTCTATCCATTGGCATTGGTAATCATCTGAAAATGAGAGAAATACCAGGCATGAGAAGAATCAAGATCTGACACCTCTGTTTTATCTGCAAAGAGCCAAATGGGCATTGATCCTATCAGGGTTCGCTCACTATTCATAAGACCACTGCTATTCATGAAGACTGCTATTCATGAGGAACGCTATTCAAAAAGAGCACTGTTCATAAGGACCGCTATTCATAATCAAAGAAGAGGGTCGCTATTCATAATACGAGAAGTGGGTAACTATTCATAATACGAAAAGAGGGTCGCTATTAACCCTCACAAAATTGAAATGAACAAAAGCAATAAAGAATTCTTTCTCTACAGCCTCATCTCCATTGTGTATAGGTCTTGCCTTTTCACTTTTCACTCATTATTAGTTTGTATATTGTAAGACATGGTTGAGTATTCTTGCTTTTTTAAAGTATCGATTGTAATAGTAAATTCAATATTTTTAGTTTTGTTATGGTAACTGATTGTACCAAAATACTTTGTTTAGCCGTTTAAGGGGTTAGGCTTGACTAGCACATGTGCTATTATCTGGCCCCTTTTACCAACCAATAGTTTCTCTTAAATCATTGTATGAAATGTATGTATTGCTGTTGGTAAATAAATCAAATCAAATCAAATTACCTGTTATAAACCCTAACTTCAAATCAAGGTGTATTGAATGAATGCACCCTTCAAAACAAACAGTATTAATGACTGATGATGCTTACCTGTATCGTTTTCATCTACATCAGCCAAACACTTCTCAATAGAGAGAGAGCCAGCAATGAATTCTTCAGCATGACTCATGAGATGTTCTGTGAAGGACTGTGTCGACATGAAAACTGAACTGCAACTATTCCACTCGCATTGCAGCTGTAATTGACGCCTCTGGTTTCTGGGTATAGGAGCCATTCTGTCAAGAACTCAGTAACACCTGACAGAACAAAATGGATTTGATTAAAAAAAGCTAAAGAAACGTGCATTTTAATCTAAAAGATCTATGAGGCTTGATCTAAAGGAAATTATGAGCCCCCACCCCTCCCATAATGTGGCACAGAGGAATCCGGGCTAACTCTGCTCAAAGACAACTCGGCCCAGCTGCAAAAACGGTCACTTTTCTCCATTTTACCCTAACTCTAACCCTAACCATAACACTAACCCTATATCCTGCAGCTTGATTCCCGGACTCGGACTCGGCAGAAGTCATGGCCGGGTAGCCAAGTGGGCTGAATGAATGAAGCACAAATACTCTCATCAATTATTATATCAAGTAGGTCTGTTTATAGAACATTAACTCATGAGACCATGCAAACCTATACGTTAAGATCAGCAAGCGCAAAGTTTAGAACTCGCGATGACATAAGCACGACTTCTTGCGCGTGTTTTGAACGGGCTGAATTGCGTGCAACGCGAATTTAAGAACCAGCAAATATGTTTTGGGTTCGCTCGATCAGCGTGAAAAATTAATCACACAAAAATAACAGCTTTTACAGTAATACAAACTAAACCCATTGTGGTATGTAGGGTCCATGCTAAACCTATAAACACCTACCGTATTTGCCGGCGTAGAGGCGGCAGTATTCTTGGAAGAGAAAATATCAAAAAGTCGGGGTGCGGCCTTTGCGGCGAAAGAGTAAAAAAAAAAAAAAAAAAAACTCAGTTCAAAACCAGCACAAATTTGCACATACGGGACTACTAACGGTACAATAACTATACCACTATGGTACAGGACGTTTCCACATAGGTCTAGACTAAGGCTGTGAAGGGTAGTCGAATGCTCGAGTACCCGCACGGTTGACAACTACTCGGGTACGATTTCTCGTACCCGAATATTCGGCCGCAAAAAAAAAAAAAAAAAAATTAAAATGTCCAGGCCGACGCTTACCCATGCCTGGGTGAGCGGCGGCCGCTGGCATGGTGCCGTCGGTAAAAATGTTTCCCAACTCGAGCACTGTCAAACTCACCACTCAGAAACTGGGACCAAATGTCTGGATTTCTGCTTGGACTTGGAGGAAAATGGATTATTCTGCCATCTTTGGTTTTTAAAACAGCATTGTTCACTGTTATTATTATTATTAAATCGGCGCCTTCAACTGCAACTCAAAGTAAAATTGCATGCGTTTTCGGCGACAGAACTGAGATACTGCTCCAGTGGTATGTATGGTGGTGGCAAAAAAAACAAAAAAACAAAAAAACAAATTCTCAATTTTTTTTTAAAAAAATCAAAAAAATTTTAAAAAAAACATGGCGTCCGAATACTCGAGTATTCGCCTGTAAGCATGGGAGTGTACTCGGGTACCTCATTACACTGTTGTGCACAGCCTTACCTTAGTCTAGACCTCTATCTTACCGACAATTTTTATCTCGCATTGTTGACATGAATACGAAAATAACTTCCTAAAACAACATTTGCTGCTATACATATCTTGATCTAAGTTTGTGCCAATGCATTGCAAAAGTAAAGGAAGGGACCGTTTAACGGAGCTGCCGCGAAGCATCCATCCGTAGTCGCCATTTTGTTTTCCATTTCATGCCATTTCACATTACACCGTACATTGTGGTAGGGGTATATCGGACACCAAATCTGCCTGCGATCACTTTTTTAGCTAAACTTCCGGTAACTTATAAGAATATTGATGAATTTGGTATCAGTTTGTAAAAAAAAAATAGTGTTTTACAAGAAAATTACGATTATTTTGTTTTGTCCGTTTTTTTTTTTTTTTTTTTTTCCTTTATTTGTTTTTTTTCCCCTCTTTGAAATGTCGAAGTTGGGGTGCGGCCTATGCGGTGCTGCGGCCTTATCGCCGGCAAATACAGTATTGTAATCTTCTTCTTCTTCTTCCAGTATACTACAGACCGCTGTTGCTATGTTGGTGTACATGCAGTGCTATTAAAAAGGCTCTAGACCTACAAGAATTCTTATGGGTAGGTCTATACTGCTGCAAGCACTCAGTGTTCGCTGAATTTTGCAAACTCTCTGGGAATGCGCCTTTTTACACTTTATTACGAATTATCAAATTGGCAACGCAAAAACAACTATTTTCGAGCCTAAGGCTAAACGTGTGTTATTTTCTCGGCTGATTGGACGGAAACGGTCCAGGCTGTCGACTTGGGTATGTACCTTATCCTTGTGGTACACACTACACCAAAGAAGAAGAAGAAGAAGAAGAAGGATATCAAAACTAGTCGACTTCGTCTAGCTTCTATCCTCCCCCCGGCCCCGCCCCGGTTCGCGGCGCGGCGCGGCGCGGCCGCCTAAGCTAGCTGCGCTCGGGGAGATTTTCCACCGATTCAGTCAACACAAATTACAGTCACACTCACAGCTACAGCATAAACAAGCACAGGCAAGAGGGGATTGTGTAGTTAATTCTGACAGTTTTAGAAGATGGGTAATTAATATTACAAATCACTGCAGCCTACGGCCTAGAAATAAATGTTTACGAATCCAATTTTACCTGTCTACCTGCTAGCTGCTACTTTTGCTACCAGTTTCAGTTCAGTGCAGTGTGATCTTTTTTTTTGCATTAGTCTTTATTAGAGCAGGGTACAATTGATCGATGAGCCAGCTAAATAAATTAGATCTAAATTTATTTGTTTTAAGTACGAGAGATTATTTATCTCCTCTGAAAATTAAATTCAAATGTTATTTAAATTCAAACCACAATAGTGGGACTGATATGTTAAAACGGAAAAGATTCAAAGCTAACTCATAATCGTACGTTGCATTTGTGGCTGCGATTGAGGCTACGTGGCGATACCGCGCGTTAATCGTTTTGGATGCAGGAAGAGGTGGTCATTTGTCATCAGTGATTCATGGAGCATAAGTCTCAGCGAGGGAAAAAAACGAAGAAAGAAAACAAAAAACGGCGATAATAGACCGTGTATTTCGTTCTATTTGGTGATATGTTCTGCTGAAACTACATCTGGCTTCACTAAGCGTCAAAAGACTAAAATAAATAAAGTTATTTAAACGAAAAAAAGAAAAAAAAAACTCCATCCTTGCATGTAGCCGCCTTGTAGACTCTGAGGACTTGTACATACATCGAGGTTGGAATGTTCTCTGAACCTGATCAGAACAAGTCGGTCTTCTTGAAGAGTTACTATTAAGATTCCTTTATTTTACACTGATTCCCATCAAATCTATGTAATATGTTTTGTAGCTTATATAATATATTCACATAAATAAATCAATATAATAATTATCTCCTGGATATGATATTGTGTAGGGTCAGAAAATGTATAATCGTGACAGATAGTCGAGGTTATTGACCAAAATGTAAATTGTTAGTGCACCTTTTTGGTCTAAGTTAATGAACTAAATGATGATCAGTCTTCATTCTGTGATAGGTCACATTTTACCTACTTTGTTTAGTACTATTTTCCCCCTGATATACTTGCATGGAATCTTATGCCGTCATTTAGGAATGTCTGTTAACCCAGTATCTAATTATATAACTTTGAGGTATAATATATCAGCAAGAACAGAATAAATAAGTCTTCTCAAGACTCCTTGGATTATTCATATTTGTTCATGCCCGTCTGCACTAATTTGGCCAGGGGATCTATACCTCCCTGCAACGTCACTGACAGGTGGTTATCTCATCAAATCAGCTCTCAATTAACATAAGAAACAGAGGATCATGGGGACGGCCAACAGGCACCGTTTGTTATATAGAGGGCGCAAGTAGCAAAACGTAGTGCAGTGGGGGTTAAATAATCTTCTTGGTAATAGCATCATAACAGTGCCGTCTTCAAAATATCATTTTTCAATTGATCTTTAGTTGTTTAATATTTATTGCAATTCATGTATTTCTTAGGATATGTTATGGTGTCTTTCCCCCTCTGTTGCTCCATGCCTTTTGATTATTTCTCTGTTCTTCCACATCTCTCTACACTTTCAATTGTTCTTGTCATCTGTTTCTCTCTTCACCCATCTCTCTCTCTTCACCCTTCTATTCCTCCATTACTATTCGCCTCTCCCACTGTTTGCCTATCAAGGTTTTTGTTTTATTTCAAATGAAACTAAGCTGTAATGTCTCAAACTTTTATTGTATTTTAGTGTATTTTTCTTCAATGTTTTAAACCTATTCTGCTCTTTTCTGTGTTCAAATGTACATTTATCCAATCACATTCATGCTCATCAAACTTTATATTCACCTTTAAATATGGACATCAATTAAATTTCCTTAAACATAATAAAAACGCAAGACAAATCCTTCATCCAAGATAAAAAGTTGTATATTGAGTATATTTTCTATTCAATGAAGGATAACATGTATTGATTTCATAAACATTGAAAGTCGGTATTTCATCATCATTGAACAGTGCAATTTTAATTATAGTAAGTATGGTAAATATATGTATTGCAAAAAAAAAAGAAGCAAACACCATATTTTTTAAATTAGAGCGTAAGCCTAAATCCCCAAATAATATTTTGTTGTGTGTTTCAATGGTTCCAGTTTCTAATAACTTATCCAAAATAAGAACTTCTAACAATAGATATGATATGTCCTTTCTCACTTATTTATTTTACTAATTTAATTTGAAATTACAAGGATAATGTATAACCCCTAAAGAAGACATCTACAATCGATGAACAGGCATAGTCCTATAGAATCGATGAACAGGCATAGTCCTATAGAATCGCTGGATTAAAGTTAAGTAGACAAATTTGAGATGGAATTCATCTATACAATTTCCCTGTAGACCGAAATTTTAATATACATATAATATAAGAAAACTTCTATACAATATGATCCATGGTAACATTAGAATATTAGTTTTAAAGTTAATAAATATTATTTCCTCCACATATGTTATCGTTATGTACTTGGTTTCATAATCCCTTTATAAGAAACCCTCTATAGCATACCACCAATCTCTTTGGATATTAATACCTTATGATGCTGTTACTATTGGCACCAACCTCCATCTCCTGAGTCCTATCTCCACTCGATTCTTCTTCCTCCTTCTCTTTCTTTTTTCCTTTTCTTCTTCTCTTCCTCTTCTTCTTTCTCATCATTTCTTCTTAATCTTACCATCTTCTTTTTTTTTTTTATCTTTCTTTACTCTACACCATTATCATGTTCTTCTTCACTTTTCCTCATCTCCTTTATATATATAAAATGATTTGGGAGATCAAATAAGCATTTTTAAGTTAAACATTTGCTATTTATGTTTTTATATATTGTATTCTACATTTGTAAAACATTGCCCAATAAGGCTGTGATGCATTGTTATTATTTTATTCTCAATAAAATCCTTATCAATTCAATTCAATTCAATTATCATATTGCAAGCCTGTATAGCTGTAGCATCTGCCATCATTGA